TATATATATATATTTACATTATATTAAATATTATTATATTATATTAAAGATACTATGGATATTAAATATCCACTGGAATAATGCTGGCATATTTACATTTAATTGTATATGAATATGCAGTGTCTATACAGAATTAAAGTAAATGCTGGGATATTAATGTCTTTAATTTGAATAGGTTACAGAAATAAACTATTCGATTGTGTTCCAATTTATTAAAGTGGTTTAAATTATTTGGGTTCAGTAAAGATGTGTTTATTTGTAACACTAAACAGGAAAGCAGATAAGAACACGAAAATCATTGCTGAGGTTCGCCCCTTCTGTTCTGTTCCTAATGTAAGAGTCGCTTCACGTGAATTCACTTTCCTGAGAAAAAAAAAATGAGAGCACGCTAAGCTACGTCATTCAAATCAAGACACCGCATTGGCAAAAATCCGTGTGACGACGAAGGCTCGGCCAATGAGTCACTGTTCGAGTTCCCGTGCATTATCGCGATCTATCTGGTTAGATAAATCCTCTACGCGGCTTCTCAATCGGCCATTTCGTCTGTGCAAGGCCATCAGCCAGCTAGGGCATCGGGGAATCTGCGTGATACTGGTAACCTGAAAGGCACATTAAAAACATCGCAACATGAATGAAACAGCTATCTCATTCGCCAAGGACTTCTTGGCTGGCGGCATCTCCGCAGCCATTTCCAAAACAGCCGTCGCCCCAATCGAGAGAGTGAAGCTTCTCCTTCAGGTAAGAAAAAAAAATCATCTTCCGGGAAGCTAACTGCTAGCTGCTTAGCTTGTTTCGCTCTACCGAATAACTCTGATGTGACAAGTCTTTTCATTGCTCATCCACACGCTTCCCTAGACATTCACTAGTATTTCTAATCTTTTCATTTAAAAAAATCGGGCCGTTTCAGTGTTAGCGGTTCTAAGGTCACGACTAAACTGGGAATGACCTACACGAGCCTGGCTGCTAGCGTTAGCGCTACGCCTTAACCTTAGCCGGCTGTTAGCACTAGCTAACAAAGGACAAACGCTCGTAGCGGCTTTGGTACAGTGTGTACAAACCCTTCACACACTTGGACTTTTTAAATTTTCGGTTATATTTTAGCCGCAGTGACAATATTATAACGAGTCGGACATTTTAATCCAAAAAGTTGCGGCGGGTAACGTCATAGTTGGTGAAAGTATCAAGGCCCATAAGCTGCGATTAAAGCCGGGTCAACTTGTTTCCATCCGCTCCGGTTGGTTCTACAACGTGACAGGAAGTTAAAACTGAAATTACATCGACCTTTGAGGTCACCCTTTTCTTTTTAAATTGATGGATTTTAAGCCAGTCCGAGATCAATCAATGCAGTAATTATCAGTGATTGCACGGGGACACTGATTAGAGGTAGCAACTGAAGGAACCATGAACTTTTCTCCCAACTTAAACTTTGTGTACAAGGTCACAATGTAACAATCATGTGACTGTTATTTGTTCAGCTGTTAATTATTTAATGTTTCTCTTCTTTCAGGTCCAGCATGCCAGCAAACAGATTGCTGTCGACCAGCAGTATAAAGGCATCGTTGACTGCGTTGTCCGCATCCCCAAGGAGCAGGGCTTCCTTTCCTTCTGGAGAGGCAACCTTGCCAATGTCATCAGATATTTCCCCACCCAGGCCCTCAACTTTGCCTTTAAAGACAAGTACAAGAAGATCTTCCTCGATGGCGTCGACAAGCGCACGCAGTTCTGGAGGTACTTCGCCGGTAACCTTGCCTCCGGAGGTGCTGCTGGAGCCACCTCCCTCTGCTTTGTGTACCCCCTCGACTTTGCCCGTACCCGTCTGGCAGCAGATGTGGGAAAAGCAGGAGCCGAGAGAGAGTTCAAGGGCCTGGGTGACTGTCTGGTTAAGATCTCAAAATCAGATGGTGTTAAGGGCTTGTACCAGGGCTTTAACGTGTCTGTGCAGGGCATCATCATCTACAGGGCTGCATACTTTGGCATCTATGACACAGCAAAGGGTATGTTGACTACATATTGGATGTCTACAGTCAACCTTACCATGTGGGTTTTTTTTAACACTTTTCTGCTCTTGCATTTACAGGTATGCTTCCAGATCCTAAGAATACCCATATATTGGTGAGCTGGATGATCGCACAGACTGTAACGGCTGTCGCTGGCCTGACTTCATATCCATTCGATACTGTTCGTAGACGTATGATGATGCAGTCTGGACGCAAAGGAGGTAAGTCTGTAAGGTTAGCAGCCTGGTTGTCATATTTATGTATAGATGTTAGATTGTTTATGTAACCTCTCCCTTTTTTTCCCCTGCCTCAGCTGACATCATGTACAGTGGTACCATCGACTGCTGGCGCAAGATTTTGCGCGATGAGGGCGGAAAAGCTTTCTTCAAGGGAGCCTGGTCCAACGTGCTCAGAGGCATGGGTGGCGCCTTCGTGCTGGTGTTGTACGATGAGCTGAAGAAAGTCATCTAAATCTTCATGTTGTCACGTCACTGTCCAATTTGGCTAAATGTATTAACTTACCATTTCTATGGACATTGCATTCTGCCTTATTTATGGGAACAACTAGCATCTCACGAAGTAGCTGTGAGAGGTGGCTGTATGTTGTGCATCTTTGATTTTAAAACGTTCCGCACCCTCTTTACCAATGTCATTCCAGATATAAAAAGAAAAATATGAATACCTACTTGTGTCATTCACTAGGTTTGTATGGTCCCAACTTGAATAAATCTATCCTGGGGAACAACCTTTAAGATTGATGTTAACTGTCCCCTTCACTGTCATAGCATGAGATGAACACTCACAGGATAATGAAAGGCACAGAGTGGATTACAACCAATTGCTATATATACTTGCGCTTATCTCTCTTGAGCCTCCAGAGTAGAACACCAGCGCTTGTTCTCCTTTGCATAGCACAGACTTCTTTGAACCTTTTAAGATGTTGGATAATTTTTTTTTTCCCAATTAAAGCACCTATTTCTTAGGAATACATACATTTTAGTTTAAATGCTCTTTTAAAACCCTACCTTCAATCTACAGTATTAAGGGGCACATTTCCTCCTTTAAATCTTCAAAGGTCTTAATTTGAAAACAGCTTTCATGTTTACACAGTGATGGGTACTAAGTTTCCTAATGGGTTTTTTTTTTTTCAGGGTTAAATTAATGCCCTCTTCATTCTACAGGGAAGTAAAAGCTTATGGGTTTTGTTAAATGCATTACAAATTTAAGCATAAGGCATTATTGGCAGGTTATGGTTAAACATGGAAAGATGGTTGGTTGTAGTTTAGCCTGATGGGCAGCAGGTGGCGCCAGTGGTAAGGGGGGAAAAACTTCTGTTGAAGCTCAGACAGGCTTACAAACAGCATTTTAAGTTTTTCATTTTTTGAAGGGGGTAACGCTGTAAAATGAAGAAAAATTGCAGGAAATTTATGTCTTGCGCACCCATCAAATGACCGCATGCTTCTCAGGATGGTTGAAAGTTTAATGGTTGGCAGAACTGCTAATATAGACAATGAAAACAGAACCATTTACGTTTGTGATGTAAATAAAATTATCTTAAATCCTTTTCCCGAGTCATTTCCGTTTTCAAACTGAATTTTGCCAAAAAAGGTGCAACATATTGATGAAAATGTATATTCAACAAGTGAAAACTCAGACTGCAATATTTCTTATCCGTGGTTAGAGCAGTGCGCTTGTGCTTTGAGAAGGTTGCAAGTACCTGGTTGGATCCACACAGCCTAAGCTTAGGGTTGCTGAACAAAACCCTTAACCCCCACACTGCTCCCTGGGTGCTGCACAATGGCAGCCCACTGCTCCCCAAAGGGATAGGTCAAAATGCAGAGAATTTCCCATTGTGGGACAAAGGAAATTACATTAAATGCTTATATTGCCAACCCACTCAGGAGGATGACTGCTGATGCAACATTTGTCCAGCAGAGGGCCATTGAAGCAAGGAAATAAAGCAAAAAAAATTCAAAGTAGCTGGCCATGGATACTATAGTAGAAAATATTACAGAAATCATGAAAACTGAAGTTTTCAGGACAAAGGTCAAGCTTAACCAACAATTTGAGAGATTTAGATTATATTAAAGGCTTAAAATGGATAGGCACACTGAATCCAAATGCCAGAAGAGATGCTCTAAATTTTGAATTTAGTCAAGATAAAATGTACATTTTATGATAGGAAAAAGCAGCTGTTATGACATGTAGAAAGAAGTTTTCCTTTTTTTTATGTGCATAAAGCAATATTGTGCACATACAATTTTTATCCTCCCATCAGACTCTTAGGTGTCACCACTAAGAGCAAAAAAGAGAAGGGAGTTGGGAGAGATGTAATTTTCCTCATATGAATGAATGATTTTTGTCCGAAAGAGAATTGATCCCACTTTAAAAAAATAATTGTATCTGAAGTCTCCTGAGGAAGCAATCTGATGTGGGGTTGCAGGGATTCAGCACAACTCTTCCCAATAAAATATCAATCATAAATGCTCACACTTCACTCTGCAATAAAGTATGTATGCAGTTTTATTTTCCATGTGATTGCATTTTACAGTTCCACGTTTCAGTCAATACTGATGTGTGTTGGCAACATTCAACTTGTTGACTGTCATCAGCCTATCAGGAAACATAATATCTTCTACAGATGGCAGCATTTATCCTGCTTCCTTTTACGAAGGCCATCTGTACAGCTTTAGTCTGTTAATAGATAAAGGCTAATATTCATATTGTTTAGGTTAATCATGAAGCACATTCTTTCACCAGTTTGACCACTTCAGAGCACAGAAGGAAACATTTTTTTGTCCTCCTAGAGAGAATCCCTAACGGCCTATCAGCAGCACTGTGTTTTACTGTGTAGCCTCACTCCCACTCTGTGGTTTGTATCTGTGTAAAGCCTGTATATCGGCTGTATCAGTCTCCTCCCACAGTCCAAACACTAGAGTCTGCACGGTTGAAGTTCACGTAGGTGTGAAGTGAAGAATGAGTGTTTGTTAGTCATCGGATTGTAACTGGCTGGCAGCTCTTCCTGGGTGTTTCCTGTATTCTGGCATGCATTCCAGGCTGCAGTTTAACTGTAATTGGCATCTGCACTCACCTCCACCAGGAGCCTGGCATCTGTAGGGGAAATGCATATTTGAATCACATACTGATAGATTGAATGTTACATTATACATAAGCATTTGCCTCATATAGTCCTACATTTTCTCATGTGACAACTATAATCTGGTGTAATTAATTTGGATTTTGTAACCAGCAAAAAAAATAGTGCATAAGTGTAAATTGGACATAAAGGGTTATGGTTTGCCAAAATTTTCAAAGGTACAAAACAAAAAAAAAATAAAAAAAAAAAAAAATAGGGTGCATTTTTATTCAGACCCAATGAGCCAATTCTGGAAGATCAGTAGGATCAGTCTTTTAGGCAGTGTTTCTACTAACTTGGAACACGTAGAACATGAATTTTTGCCAATCTTGTTTTAAAAGAATCTATCTTAGACAAAGTAAGATTTAATGGCCAGCTTCTGAATTCAGGCCTCAGTTTCCAGCCTTACCACAAATAGCCAATTAGATTTAAGACTGACTTTTGATTAGATATGATCTAAATAATGTATACATCGTCTAAGACACATTTCCAATATTTTGATCTGGATTTTGAGTGGGCCATACCTGCACATAATATATTTTTATTTAAACCACTCTATTCTAGCTCTGGCTGTATGTCCCAGGTCATTGTGCTCCCGAAAAATAATCATCCGTCCCTCATAATTCTAACAACTCTGATCAGCTTCAGAAGGATCCCTACAGCCTGATGCCAAAAACCTTTTGTGTGGGGCATAATGTGTTCAGGTTTGCATATGGACAAGGTTTTCAAAGGTTCCCATGTATAAAAAACGTGGTGTGCACAAAACTGTTCTACTTGCAAGGTGCAAATCAAATTGTGTCTCTAGAATGACCAGAACATTAAATAGAAAATGAGCATTTGCCTTCATGAATGTGGCGATCATATGCTGATGACCTAAATGTACAGATTTTTTTTTTTACGAGGAGCTTATAAAAAGGTTAATTCTTACAGCTCACAAAGCAATTATTCAAAGCTGGAGCAGATTGCAAATAGTTTTCTCATTCATATCATATTTATCAGTTAGCTGCAAACTTGCAAATAGACATTTTTGTGGTCAAAAGGTGCACAGACACACAATAAAAGTCTTAGTGCATGTGAACATGTTTGAGATGTCAGATTTAATGATAGTGGAATGCTGTTAGAGAAAAAGATGCCAGAGCTGGAGAGATTAATGCAGCAGGAAGCTGCACAAAATTAAAATAAAAAATACTTAACTTGACTATTTAGTTATGTATATATGCTTTTAATATGTACAAGATTTATCATGTGTTTTGTACATGAGTACATGTATTGTACTCTAGGGCTTTACATTAACAGCCCTTAGAGAAAAAAAGCCCTCAAGCATAGTGCTTGTAAAGGAGACTCCATCATGGACACCTGAAGGTGTATATCCCTATCCCATAGGCAAGGGCCTTTTTTTCAACCTCAGTGCTCCTCTGTCAGCTCCACATCTATCTTAGTCCGAACTTTCGGTTCTCTGGGTCAAGATCTTTCGCTTGTCAGGTGTATGAGTTAAGGCTATGACTAAATACGGTTTTCTGGATTTTACAATCACTACTTAAATTTTAAATTTTTATAATTTTATTGTTACCCTTTTAAGGGTTTTTACTTTTTTTGGGTTTAATTTTGTGATTCATATATGAAAGGTACACTATAAATATAATAAATTTTTTTACCATTTTTTTTTATTATAATTACGTCCAACTTTATGGCTTAGATCTTAGTCTTTTTCTTAAGACCACCCTGGTCCCAACGGTGTTTCAAAAGGGCAGCCCTGATCACTCGTACTCATTCGTTCCATAATAGGTATGCAACACACCCAATTACTTCACGTGCAATTCTTTTTTTTTTAACAATTTACCGCTCCTTATTTGGAGTCTTTGAATATCACAACCTTAACGTTCTGCATGTCACATATTGGTCCCATATAATCAGTGTATTTCTGTGTGCCCTGCATAGCTTGTGGCAAACTGCAAACCTGTTTCTATTTTTGAGGTTTTTGTTTCAATCTTGGCTTTGTTCTTGACATCTTTCCATACAGCCCAGATTGATTCTCCCATCTGAACTGTGGATCTCTGCATCTTCTCAGCTTCAGGACCTCTCTCCTTCTCCCCTGGCTGGTGAGTCCTCTGCTCAGCCTGTTGGTTTAGGTGGATGGCCATGTTGTGATGGTTTTGCAGTTGCGTTATACCATTTCCTTACATAAAATGTCTGTATTAACTAATTAGGGGAATTATAAATGAAGCTGGTTGTGCATCATTTTGTATTGTTATTTTTGTGAAATAGCTGAGGAGTTATCAGAGTAAAAGGTGGCTAAATATAAAAGCACGCCACAACTTTTACATTTTATTTTTAAAAATCCTTAAATGTCATAATTCTACTTTACTTGGTTTACTTTTTATCACATCAAATCCAAACAAAACAGGAATTTGGTGGCAGTAAATGTTTGGGAATAAAGCACAAGGGGAAAAAAAATGCATAAAAAAAACCAACAACAAGACTTTCTGTGAAGTACAGGAAAGTACTAGTTTTTATTCCTTCATAATCAAACTTCACAAACAGCTTGAACTTGTACAATACCTCAGAGAGTGAAAATTACAAAAAAAGTGCTGGTAACATTTACAAAAATCATCCTTA